AAAAAAAAAAAAAAAAAAAAAAATGCCAAAAATTGACTTAAGCCCTCCTCCGCCGGCACCGAAGCAGATACATAATAAACGATAAGTTGATCGTGTGTCAGAAGCTAATTTTAAAATTACGCCGGCCGTCGGATTTCCTCGAAGACGAATTCACACCGGTCGATTTTAACGTAATAACAACTTCGTGCGCGCGCGCGTATTACGAAACGGCGGAAATTATCTAGAAAAATTCGAAAAACAAAAAAAAATTAATCAACTGTATTACAATGCGCGGAGAACAAGAAGATCGGTCTAATTTGTTTATTGTGATAATAACATTATTACACATTATTACGATACGCGTATATACGTACACATGCATACGGGTAGAGGTACGGTTGCGGTATATTTTTTTTTCTCCAAATATATACGTAATTATACCGCGCGTTAATTGGACTCCAGAACCGAAAAAAAAAAACGGAATAGTAAGTAATAATAATGATAATCATTATTGTAGATCGCGACGAGGCGGCGTGCGGATGAGACCCGGCCTTCTAATATTACGGGGCACCGGGCGAGGTACGGCCGCGCAGAGTGTTACGGTGCATTGAGTTTCCCACACGCTTAAATAGTCTTTTATTCCACAAAGACGCGGCTTTTCCGGTTTCGCACCGTTCTGTGTATCCTGTCTGGGGCCCGTGTAATAATAATACCCGACACTTAATGCACACACGCACACGCGCACCACTCGGTCGTCGTTGGCTAATACATCAACGAAACTCCGCGTGGCCGCTATACCCCGGCCGTGACCGGTGAATTTATACACCACCCTCCGGCCCCCACCACCGCCGCCGCCGCCGCCGCCGCCGCCACTCCGGCTCCCTCCCCGAAAGACTTTTTTTTTCGGTTTTATTTTATTCCGCGTACCTTATATTACTATCGTCGTCGTTGTTATTATTATTATCATTATTATTATTATACGCGACTTACAGAGGCGATGTATATAACGCACTGTATACACACCTAATCTCGTACGCATCGCGGACGGTTACAAAACCCAGGGAACCGTCTGTACGTATTACGTATACGGCGTGGATACCGCACCGCAGCCGTAGGTACTGCAAAGATATTAAAACGTAGTAAAAAACGAAAAAAAAAAAAAACAATGGCATTAAAACCATCGCCGGTGTAATTTATTCGGTTTTTGAACCGTCTTAACTCGACTTTTGATATATTATAATAATGTTATAATAATATCGTATACGCTGTATGTATTATGTTCATATACTTACGTACCTAAGTATACTAATAATATTTGCGTTGTTTCGCAGCACATTCGTTATTATTTATTTTTTTTTTTTTTTTCCAGTTTCACGAATTTTAATAATATCATATAATAGTACGCTGTTAATATTTCGCATTCGTTTCGTTTTCGCGTTTTCCGAATACTAACAATGGCCACTGTCGTAGTGGCCTAACTCGGGAAAGTGGGAATGTGCGTAGCGATAAATCATTGTCAACGAAAAACGATTCTCAGCGGAACTCGCGGTTATGCAGAATTTTAAACAAATCGCACCGAAACGCGGGCGTTATAATAATTTACGAATCGAATAAGAAGAAAAATAATTAACAGTTCTGCCCGAATTACCTCACCATAGTGCACTATCGCGCCTTAATCGCCGCTACCTTTGAAGCGCCCCGCCTCATCGTGTGTTCGCAGACAAACACAAAAATAATAATAACACATAATGAACACGCACATCATCGTAGTGAAACCAATACACATTGCTCGCCTCGCGGAATTCAAAACGAAATATCCATTAAACAATCAAACTTAATGCACTCGCCGGGGAGTTTATTATCTGATGAACTGGATATTATTTTACCCATACAGCGTTGTATAGCTATTACACAATTAACATAAACCACATTGAATTTGTATTATGATACGTGGGGATGACCATTAAGTATTGGGTATATAGGTGCAGATTACACAACCAAACGACAGGAATTAAATCACGGAAATAAATACATACATTTGAATTTGTACGTTATTATATCAGTGACCCCAAGTGTCGTGCACGGGGAGTGGGAGACGTTCAGGATTATATCTCACCTCCCCCCCCTCCGGACCGTCCGCTTAAAAATACAACAATGTTGCGCATATAGGACCCGGATTTAAATGCACTTAAAATTCATAAAAAAAGTCCTTAAAAAAAAAAAAAAGCGAAAACGGTAAAAGGGGGAGAATTTTTCAAATCCTCTACCGTTTACAAGCGCTTTTTGTATATATTTTAAGCACATATTTTAAATCCGGACTCTAATTATGTGTAAATTGTATTTACTAATTTTATTCTGAATTTATACGTATAATATTTCAACCAAGTTTAAAAATGGAAAAAAATTTGATTTACTGAAGGAGAATCGACTCCCTTGGTGTTCAATTTTCAAATTCTCATTGTCGAGCTGGGCGTATACTCGTATAATAAAAGAAAATTCTATGTTTTTCTTTTTCATGAATCGTGTTTATTAATCAACATCGTCTCCAATTGGAAATTTCCGAACACGTCGCTAACACCAGCGTAGCCGCTATAAACGAGTCAAATTCAGTCCTGGCCTCGGACAAATAAACAGTGATATTACAAAAACGCAAAAATTCGTCTGCAAATTTGCATTACAGTAGGTTAGAATAGTCAACATTCGTATGTGTGTACCTGCAGTCCATACCTTGCATTCTTGTAACTGTTTTATTTTATCCGAGGGCTTATTACATATTATGTGTATTTTTTTTTTTTTTTTACATTTCCGTTAAAAATATAAAATAAAATAGATCTGTTATGACTTTCCAATCTTGTGGTTTATCGAAATAATTCGGTATAATTTTTTACCTACCGAACGACTTTAGCTCGCATTTATATGTATTTTAACCGCAAGAGTTGTTCTGAATGTTCCGAACCGTGCATACGTATACACTACACATATACACACCGACATTATATTATAGTCATTACTCATATGTATGCAAGTCTCGATTGTAATATAATTGCATAAACACGTTGCTGCTGTAGTCGTTTTGTTTTGGTTTTTTTTTTTTTTACGCGTAAAAAGCAATCGTTTTCGGCGATTTTATCTATTCGTTTTTTTTTTCTCGACAATAACAATTATTGTTACAAAGAGAATTCATCTTAATATTTCAATATAACTTGATAATTGTAATATTGTTGAACGCACTTTTTACCCATCTGATCGTATAACCATTATAATAATTAGTTATATGATTTATGTTAGTAGTAGTATAATAATTCCTTACTCGCGGCTCGTCGGTGTGGATTTCAAACAAATTCGACGTGGGATTTTTCTCGATAATCAATTATCTCTAGCGACCGCCGATGTTTCACTCGGTGTTTTATAGATTGGTGCCTAAAACTAAATCTCTCTCGCACTTTCTCTCTTTTCTCTATACAGCTTAACTTAAGGCTCTTGAAGAGCTCTTCGGGAGCCTTACAGCTGTCAACGCAATATTTCTTTCTATCCGTCTCTATAAGAGACACTGCAGTCTTCCCCCGATCTGTGCATTTCTCATTTTCTCCCGGCCATCTTTAATACAGCCCATGATCAAAACGCTTTACGGGTTGCCCATTTGCTCGTTTGTCTTTTACCTGTTGCGCGTCTCCGTTTTGCAGTTATGTTATTTAACCTCTACGATTCCGTTTTCTTTTTCCTCACGCATAGCACGTCCGAACCGATACGGCAGCCTCTTTGATAAAACTCGTTATGTAGTACGGTAAAACTATATAATAATACAATAAATGTCAAACATAAATATTGAGGGTGGACCAGGACTTTGTTTTTATCGTTTTACCTTCGTGATATTATATACGGGCGGGTATAAAGAAAGGTTTCCCTCAAATTTTCAGATCTTTAAAATGATTTCTAGATGTCACGAGTGTCAAATTTATCAAAAATATCACTTTATAAAAATAAAATACCCATTTTTCAAAAAACACAAATAATGATTTTAAACAAAGAAATACAAATTTAAAAAAAAAAATCAAAAATCTACATTTATTTAGCTTGTAGAAAATATCTTTATATTTACAATTTTTGGACTAATTATTTTTTTGTATTTTAAGAACAATATTTAGAATAAAAAAAAAATAACAACTAGTAAAACTATTAAAATATATTTTTAATAGATTTAATGCAAACGACCATTAGAAATTATTTTAAAGATCTGAAAATTTGAAGGAAACATTTTTGTACCCGGCCAAATGCAATATCACAAGAAGAGCGAAAAATAAAAAACAAGAAAATCCGAGTCCGTCGTTAATATATTATTAAGATGTTGTGCTTAGGCGTGGTTTCGATAAGGGACAGAATTAGAGAAAATATACCGCGATGGTTTGGGCATGTCACGGGAAGATAAAAGAATCAGAAATAGTAATAGATTCGTTTTGCAAATAAATGTATAATGGGAATCTGAGGAGAGAATGTCCGAAAAAGAAGCCGTTAGACGCGATTGAGAGTGATACGAGAATGGCCGGTGTATTCCAGGTGTGATATTGGGTCAAGTGTAAGTTTAAAATGCGGGGAGACTGACCTCCAAATAGATGTGATGAAGGCGAAGAAGAAGAAAAATAGGATTATTGTTGTAAGTTCGGAAACTGCCTCTATATAATATTATACACCTGTTTCGCGAGTGTGTGAACATTTTTTTTTTTTTTTTTTTTTATTGGACGACTTGTTGATATATGGGAAGATATTCCGCAACGAGTACGATACGGGTATCATAAAAGTCCTCTTTGCTTCGTCGTAAAACAAACGCGATAAATAAGGTCGCCACAGTAAGTAAACCGAATTGTCGCGTGTTTTTCAATGGATTTTTTTTCTACGAGACGACGAAACCGGCTACCGGCTCCTCGACCGTCCTAGAGCCGTTCTCTCGGTTTTCGGTGCAATAATTAATTATAAATAAATAACACAAATACACAATTATTATTAGGTATGAAAATCCGTAAGTCACACTCGTCGCTATTCGTATACGGTATATACCGAATTGTAATAATACGCATCCTATAATATGCATAGATACGCGTTCTCGGGTGTACCGGTTTTCATTAAAAAAAAAAAAATTTAATTGTACGTAAATAAACTGCGATGGCAAAAACGTCGATTTAACCGCTGTATAATAAAGTTATTAGGGTATAGGACGTTGATTTGGGTGGTCATCGCCGGCCGCCGCCGTCGCTTCGAATATTTGTTTCTGTGTCGATTTATTTATTTATTTTTTTTTTTTATATTTTTTTTCCCGTATTTTTAATCATCGACGTGACCAACAATTATAACACCTCCGGAGGAAGTACGCTCGGAGAAAAAAAATTAAAAAAAAAGGAAAAACACCTCGAGCCGCCGTGACAATACAAAATTAAAATAAAAAATAATAAAATCTTATTGGGATTAGACGTGCCTAAACCTATAGAATATTATCATTATCATTATTATTATTATTATTATTATTATTATTATTATTATCTGTTATTATCATTTTGTTGTTATTATGACCGTTTTAAACGGATTCTACGGTGTCGTTGTAAACAGGACGTCGTCGTCTGTACGCAGTGGTCGCGACGGGTAATAATAAATTGAGTAGTGAAACTATCGTTCGTGTTTCCAGTTTCCGCGACAAAGGGAAATTTACCACAATTTCGTGTGATTACAGAGGAGCCTAACATGGTGCGCTGGACACGCCGTCACCCGTGAACCCATTTTTTCCCCGTCTGTCGTTTTTAATGTACAAAATTATAAGCCAGTAAAACATTCGTCGTATACCTATAGTAAAGAGTAGGACACCGGATTTAAATGTGCTAAAAAATATCGACGGAAATAGAATACGCTAAAAATATTATTAAAAAAATGCTCCTTTAAAAACGAACGAAAACGGCGAAGGAAAGCTAAATAAAAATTCCACTTTTGATCAATTTCCGATTGTGAGCCAGGGTGAAGCAACCATATCCGTTAATAAATTAACGAAACACTTTATTCAAAATCGAAAAAAAACAATAATTTGTTTTCCACGGAGAATTTAGTTACCAAAAAACCTAATGAAGCGAATTTCACGAAAACAAAATATCAAACTATTAACCGTTGAGTATTATACAGCACAGTGGCGGCTGAAAGTATTCTTACCTTGAATCACCGATTTAACTTTGCACCCACCCATCCCGACCCAAAATATCCCATACTGTCATAAATGTATTGAAATTTAACAAATTCCGATAAAATTTCCGCAGTCTGAAATTCTTTTAATGAATTTTATTTTGTAAAAACTTAATATTTTTTTGTCATATTTCTGAAAGTCCGGGCACTCATCACACACCCACCCGTTTTTTGAACCACGTGACTCGCCCCTTTCGAGTCACTACTGATATATATATGGTATAATGTATACACAATAACATGCACTTGAACCAGTGTTTATTTCAGTAGATGGCCGGGGATGTGTTGTATAAATAATAGTATGAGCTACAAAGAAAAAGTCGTCATTGATCGTATTCTTGTGGTTTTTTCCCCCGGGTGAACAATTCCTGGACCATTGGTATGGTCCCTTGGAAATTTCCCTTTACCCCTGGGGACAAAACGTCTGGAATAAACACCGACTTGAACTAACGAAATTAACTACATTTTTATTCGAAACTTTTGATACAAACGAATATTGATTATACGCTTATATCGTACTACGAGTACTTGTATTATTATATTTAATTATATATGTTTTGCCTAGGTTATAATCGCGAATAATTAGTTATACTTGCAGTTTATTTATATTTTATGTTCCACAATATCGCTCGCTGTGCAATATTGATTATTCGTATTCGATCTTTATTCAGATTGATTTTTTTTTTTTTTTACGTGTATCTTTTATGTACAGTTTAGACGATTCGTATTTATCACGGTCGATTCGAAACGACTTTGAACGTTATGTTTAATCTCGAAATCGCACGAACGCGTCGTTGTGTCGGTGTAAAAACTAAACCTGGACATTAAATTCGGAGACGAACGCTGAAGAAATTACGACGGGCATAATAGTCCTACTGTTTCCTCGACGAAAAAAGACGCGACGCGGTAATTTATGACAGTAAATATTTATTGTACGGTCTAATATTTTGAGTACAATCAATGTGTTTATATTAGTCCGGCCAGCAGAAACCCGCCGGAAGAAATTCGTTTTTCGGCCTTTTTTTTTTTTTTTTTTTAGTTTAGTTTCTGAGCGTAACTAGGGATCTATTGGTCGTACCGTGATTTTTCACGTCGGTAAACATCTCTCTTACGAAATATAAAAGCGTTTTGTCGCATTTTCAATGCAGATGACGCGTTCGAGAGGCGATTTACTTGAATTACGCTTTTAAGTTGTCGAAAAAAAAAAAATAGCACGGACGTCTACGGGACGGGTGCTGAAAACGGACGAATAACTTCTATACCTGTGCAACCTATATACACCTAACGTTCATAACTGTATGCATATACCTGCATGCTATTATCACAACGTTATAATATACGCGCGATGATAGTTTTATGCGCGGATTTAAATCCCAACGAAATTACAAACCGACTTACTTTTTATTATAAGATGATGATAATATATACACGTTTGTCCGATTATTATTATTTTCATATTTTACATCGCGAAATCGCGTCGTATAAATGCGCTATAATAATTCGGTCGATTTATTTATTTATTTTTTTTTTTTTTTTACGATAAACGCGTCTGCAGTATTATTAATAATTATATTTATTACACGTACGTATAATATGGGTACGTGTATTTGTGTTTGGATTTTTATTCCTCTCCGTTTCGTTGTACGATTTGGTCCGCGCGTTATTATAATATTGGCAATAACCGACAGAAAAAAAAAAAACCAAAACAATAACAACGTTGTCACACTGCCAAAAAAGACACAATCGGCCCAACCCGTAGCGTGCTTATTATTATTTTGTCGCCGCGGCGGAGTATTGTAATAATTAAACGTTATAATATTGTATATATACGTATAGTTAGTTAGCGAATTTTCGGTAATTGATTTTCGCCAACGGTCGTATAAAAAAAGAAAAAAAAAGTGAGAGAAAGAGATGGAAAGGGAATAAAACGTAAAAAAAAAAAAAAAAAAATAAAAATAAAAAAAAAAAAAAAACATAATACTGCCGAACGCTTAATGATCTTGTTTACGGTCACTCTCTGAACTAGTACCCGTGGGAACGTGTTCTTTTTTTTTTTTTTTTTTTTTAACCAGTACTAATAAAATGTATAAAACTTATATATCGAACAGTTCGTATACACTATACACACTGCACCGGAGCGCGCGTATATATAAATATAAATTAACGCCAGTGGATATATTATACGAGTCGCGCTCGTCGATGTGTGTGTGTGTGTGTGTGTGTGTGTGTTTGTGTTGAAAAATCATCATTTTGCATACGTATAAAAAAAACAACATAATAATAATAATAATAAATCGAATATAATCGACTGCTCCGAGACGTATAATTTAAATTGAAACATATTTAAATTTTTTTTTTTTTTTAATTTTTAATCCAACGAAATAAAACATAAATATACGAAATATAATACTGTACATCATAATTCTATCAGGCGACTGTAAATTTGGCTGTGAAAAAAATTTGCTCCGAGAATATACTACGATATTAAAAAAAAAAAAAAAACCATATGCTTACTGACGACGACGATGATAAGACTTTTCCGCCCGATACCCGTATTTAAGGGGGAGTGGTAAGGCCGTTTTCACGGACGATTATGACGTTTCGGACCAATAATCCGTAGGTATAGTAAAATACACCCACAATGCCACCCGACCGATTTTAATTTCGTAAACGTATTTGAACCCTTTGGTTTCCTGTCTATGTTTTATTCGTTTTTTTTTTCCTTTTATTTCGTATATTTAGTTATATATATCGCATTATGATTTTAGATTTATTTTTCTCTCAAAATAAAGATACACTTAAAAGCGTAACCGCAAAAAACACAATGAAAATATTTTCCCTGTACCTAAAACATAGATGAAATGTAAAATCGTTTTTCAAATTTCAAGACTACTAGAAGTATATTATTTTCTTTTCGCTCTAGTGGCGTAGTTGTGCTTTTTGTCTGACTTTATGGGCGTCTCTACACGCGACCTCCGAACAGATCTATGTTTTAGATTCTGAGTGTAGCAAAGAAGCTATATTAGTGTTTGTTCATGGATTACACTTTCGTGGTTAGCGAATAACTTAAATAGGCGATAAAAAATACCTTAATAATTTTATTTAAGTAAAAAGTTTTTATTTAAATGTGCGGATATTTCGCCCGACGGTATTTTAGATGACATTTTTTTTCGAAATACCCATTTCCTTTTTTAAAAAAAAATTTTTTTTTCTTTGTTAAACAAATCGTCCTCCCTCCATAACAACGCCACTGTTTTACACCTACAGCTTATTGGTCTGAACGTATGAAAAAATGAATAGCTTTCAACCGCCTTAAACGTAATAAAAAGCCGGGCGAAATGACTATAACGTCGGTTCTGCCCTTCGTGTTCGACACGGTCACTTGTAAAAAAAAAAACCTTAATAAAAGCGAGTTTATCAAGGTGATGGAAAAAAAATTAGCCTCTTAAAAAAAGAAACAAAATACCAGTTTTAATCTAATTCCATCAGTCCATATTTTCGGTATCGTTATCAAATTTACTATTGCGGTTAAACCTATATAATAGCTAATTCATTTTAAATAATTATAGTTCGTGTCTATTATTACACGCTCTATACATATTAATTATACATTTTTACATTTTTACTAAAAGCCATTTAGGTCGTTACTTGATTACGCTCTTATTTTAATGAACGGAAAATGGGTGGTTTTTTTTTTTTATTTAATTTTAAAAAAAGAATCTCCGAATCCTTATACTCAGATTGCAATTACCTAAGTAAAATGTTTGCGCGATATTTGCAAACGAAACAGATACTGGGCGAAAATATTGCAGGACCCAGCGTCCTATATCCCAAAGAATGTATACACGGATGAAAACAAAAAAAATAACAATGACTCAGCATTGTAAAAGACAATACAATTCTAATTGTTTCGCTCGGTGTTTGCGAATGTTCAAGTTTTTTTCAAGTACTACACCGTTTTATGCAGCGTGAAAATAATTCTCCGATGCGTTTAAAACGTTTCAAACGGAAATCGCGTTTAAAAAAATAATTCGCTTTAAACGTCATATCAACCCTGCGTGTTACCTGCGCGTAATCCAGCAGAAATTTTGTTTTGTAATTCGTTTTTTACATTACTGTACTGTGTCAATCGGACGCGCTGTAGCCGATGCCGGCCGAGAGAGCGAACGTGTAATGATGATGATCTACAGGTGTTTACAGCATTTTACTGTGCTGCAGTCAAAGTCACTATGAGAAAACGTCAGGGACATCGGGTACGGAACAATACGTTCGTTATTATACACCCCGAAGTGGCGCGACCGAGATTCGTTTTCGAGGAGAGTAGGAGCGAGCGGGGAGGGGGATACGAATTTCCGGACGCGTTTTCGGTGTAGTAAATTAGTAAAATCACGCGGAAACGTCCGAAATCACAATGCAAACACCACGCAATTATATACGCGTGATGCGTGAAATTCGTAAAAGAAAAAATTCAAACTTTGGTACGGGGTAATGTAACATCCCTTCCTCGATCGCGCCACTCGGAGCGGCCGTAAAAGGCGTTTGACGGGGATTTCGATTCCGCGGGGTTGTAGGCGAGTGTATTTCATAATACACCGTGCAACTGTTCGCCTCGCGCGTATTATTTTACAGAGCGTATTAACAACACGATGTGTAAACGAGGTGTGACCGCGATCCTTGGGCGATTGTAATAAAACCGCTGTACGCAAATCGAATTATTATATTTTATTGTTACGAGTGTTTCATAATGTACAGGGTGTGTATATTTTTTTTTTTTCATTCTTAAGTATGATATTGTACCGATGACGTCGTTTGGAGGATTTATTATTTTAAGTACCGTTTGTCAATTTTCACCACTAAACAATCGTTCTACCATAAATCACAGCACTCATTTACGTAATTTCGATTTTCAACTTTCCATCCCTTTATTATTCAACACGAATACACTACAGATGTTCAACGTGTCTATATTATATACCTAATGATGACTGAAAAAAGACGAAAAAAAAATAAAACAAAAGACTGGCATACTTTGCACAATAGTTGGGCCACTGTTGTGGGTGAGAATTTCAGTTAGGATATAAAGACGAATTCAATGTATATTTGTAACCTCCTGTTAAATGTCCAAACATTTCTGTTTGGTCTAAAAATTGTATCCACAGAGTACCTATCGAATAAAAATTACTTTAAAACCTTGTCAAATGTAAGTGTCTGTAAACAGCTCAAATGTTTTGAACATTTTACCACGTCTAGAAAAGACAAGTGTACATTTTCTTTCTTAGTTCCAAGTCTTCACAAACATTTTCATCTGAATTAAAACAAAAATTGACAATAATAAAAGCATCATTTTCGTAAATTTTCCCGTTTTTCCCGATTATTATGAATACCGCTTGGAAAATCAAAAAATAACTTTCATGTAGTACAAAATGGAAGTATTAAATTTCCTTTCACAAAAAAAGCTACACTTGAAAATCGGAGCAAGATTATTAAAAAAGAAATTTTGATAGAAATTTTGTACACAGTATATAAAAAAATATAAAAATAATATGTAAACATCATTGTGAAACCAATATATTCCTCGCTTCGCACAGGATCTAAAAAAACTAATATCGATTTTATTGTTTATCTATTCGTACGATATTAAATATAATAATCGATGGTCCACGGTAACGAAAACGAAAAAAAAAAACGATTACTATATAGCATAGAGGTATTATGAAATTCGTTTTAGAGTCTGAGTGTATTTTTGTATTTTTTTTTATTTTTGTTCGAGTCAAAATTTATTAATAAAAGTATCCGAAATATTGAATTTTGATATTTAAACTTTACAATAATCGACCAGATAAACGTTTTGCAGAGGGACCATATTAAAGAAATAAAAAAAAAAAAAACAGAAAAGGAAAACATATTGACTTTTGACGTTAATAAAATATTAAAAAATATTATTTTTCGAAATCCCACGTGGAACACGAGTCTTTCTGTTGCGCGAACGACGACTATTCGTTGCTTTTTATTATTATTATTATTGGAAAATGCGCAATTCACCGTTTCACCTACTAAATAGCATGTCTGCTGCGTATAAAAATGTTATACGCGCGCGCATAATAGCGTAGGCAGATACGGTATAGGTAGGTAGTCGAAGAAAGTCCGAAAAAACATTTCCCTCCGTCCCACTCACCCGGTACAATTAAAAGAATATCAACACGACCATATTCGACGGACCGGAACATCGATTGTTATGACCGTTTTGCGGTATCCGCCGAACGTCCTCGCGCCGAGGACGACGCCATTCACACCGACGACGCGAATATAAGACGCGCGGCTAGAGACCGACGGACATTTTGTAATAATTTTGCGGAGGACCGAAAGAAATACGCGTAATGTGTCCGTCGTACGGAACGCGACCGAACGATTTGGAAATGTACTTTTCTCGTCCGAAATGTTGGTTTCGATGTTTTTCGATTTTGATTTCGATGCGAACGTGCGAAGTGATTCCCGAAAACTATCATCCACATCAGGGGCCGGGAACCTGCGGCTCCTTAACACGCGATCCGCGGCCCTTTGGAAAACGAATTAGTCGTTTTTTGTACTACGATATCTATTAGTTTTTTTTTTTTTTTTGTTGCGCTCGGTCACTTTTCGCACGACGCGGTGACGATGTATAATACGATAATAATAATAATAATTGAATACGGTTATACGCTAATAAAAATTCATAAATGAATACGAGTTGCATTTGTATAAATTAAAGAAATTATTAATAACGCCGAAATTATATATAAAAAAGAAAAAAAAAACGAATGTTAAACTAGAATTTTAATCTATGAATACGTATTTTTTTTAATTTTTTTTTTTCAAATAGTCGAACGAAAAAAACCTGCGTATCCGACCGCACCAAAAACGAAAACGTTTTATTATTATTATTATTTTTTTTTCTTTCCGTCGATCAGAAACATCTGAAAACTAGTTTGTGGAAACTTATTTTTGTTTTTTTATATTCGTGTGAAATTTAATTGTATTACCTAATATAATGTATTCTCGGAAATACTGTATATATTTATTGTTCGCTTTGATAATTATATAGTCTATCAATATAAAATTTAAAAAAAAAAAAACTCGAACGTTTCTATAATGTGTAAAAAAATAATAATAATAATAAAAAACTATTTCAATTAGTAATATATGATAATATATGGGTGTATTTTAATAGTCGTCTTTGGATTATTCGACATTTTTTTACGTTCATTACACAATAATATTCTGCCCCCACATATCCTATACTTAATTATGTACTTGATTGTACGTACACCATAGAGATGACCGAATTATATTAATTCGATTACTACCGGAAATATAATGAATTTTGGTTTTTTTCTTTTTTTTTCAAATAATATAATTTTATCACTATCGAAAATACAACTGAATTTATTTTCGGAAAATAACACCTATCGTTTTCGACGATATTTTTTCCATGTTTACAGCGTCTTAGAGTACGACGCGAAAAATTAACGCTTATTCGAGTGAGAGGGATCGCCTCTCCTGCACCTTCTAACTATCGACGCAAACCGAAAACGATTCCGAGCGGAATTCGGCGAGTCTGTGACTGCACCAGAGTGACGACAAAAATTATACGACATAACGCGTATTATTATTTTTATTTTTTTTTTTTATCACTGATATTTTAACTTGTGACGAACGTGATTGTATCAAATTGTGGAGCATTTATTGTATAGACCTGAATATTTGAAAAAAAAAAAATACTCGAAAATACTCAGCTATGAATAAACGTAACTTTTGTAACGCAAAAATATTTTGCAAATCACCTCTAGAAAACGCTATTAGTCAGTAGGTCTTCTGAATTCGGTCAAACATTTAAATTCTCTGCGATTACATTTAGGTACTATAATAATTACGTGAGAAAATAGTCAAATCGTTGTTGCATTAATATTCTCGGTTTTCCGGCGTTTTTTTCACCGATTTTCTCCGTTATTCATCAAATAATAAAGAATATTAAAAAAAAAAAACAAAAACGACTTCCCCGACCCTGCAACTAGAAACCGCCCTTAACTCGACGATCGGAACGATATTTTCCGTGGAATAGTTGTTCGCAGACAGACGAGTTACCAAAACACAAAAGCTCACAATAACAATTGATTATCGAGAGGTTAATATTGATCTATTCTTAAAAAAAATATTAATCACCCCACCCCCGCCTCTGATAAGGTGGAAAATGACGTAACGAGTGTTTTTTCGGCTTTGTCGAAATCCAAATCTGTATACCTTTCCCATCGTAATAATTTTGGAAATCAAAATAAAACGTGGGTAATATACTCAATTACATAATATACTCCCATGCGTAATAATTGTTAAAAAAAAATAAATAATTACAAGTTGGTACAGTACACGCCGATTAAGTCGAATCCTTAATATTTTGCAATCTATCCGCTACGCGCATGTTTTAAAATGAGTTTTTATTTGCAGGGAGGTTTTTTTTTTCTTTTTAATCATGACTCGGCAAATAATGTTTACGTAGGTACGGAGATTTCGAGTAAAATTGATTGTATTTTTTTTCCAAAGTCAAAAAACTTCTTATAAACCTATGTAAAGTTATAAAATAACTGTAGGCATATTAAACTCATGATGGTAGATGGTATAACATGAAATTCGTTTTTGGATTTTTCTCAAATAAAATTATTTTACACTGTCTCAAACGAGTTTGAAAGTTGAACACGCGGCCTTTGTGCGTTTAGCGGTTTATAATATTAATATCAGAACCGTTTATAATGTTATTGTTATATTTACAATATATTTTCCAAAACTTCATTCCGGCACACCGTGTTTATAAAAAAGCATGTTAACGATTTTCGATATCGTGGCCCTTCCCCTCGCTCCGCCCCGGCGGAGGATTTGGTTCGTCTTCTATGGGAGTGGAACAATATGCTTCTGGTCCGAAAATCATACTTTTAACTAACATGATCAGACGTCGGTCGGTCAATGTGACCCCTGATCGCTTAATGTAAAAGTACAACTATCTGAGGAGGCCGTTATTATAGTTTTTATTAACACTATGAACTTCTATACAGATTTCCGAAAGAAATTACTTATTCACGGGTAGTTTGATGTCTAGAGGGGACCATGACTCCCACGTCCCCCCCCCTAAACGTCGCGCCTGCTCCGCCTCCATTATCTTTTCAAACTTTATTTTACGAAAAATATTTCTCTATTCGAATCGGTGTTTAAAAAACCCGGGGCC